CGTTTACGCAAGCGTGAATTACACTTTCATTAGCCGCGTGCCGGCATATTGGCCGCGGCATCCCTCTTTTTCTCGTCACCTCATCGGCGCTGCGCACAGCACAGTGTAACGCAGCGAGCCATATCGATCCCGAAAATTGACGACGGCATCTCCGAAGCCGGAAGAGCGCGCATTCAGAGTCACCTGCCTAATCTGACTAACAAATTTGGTGCAGGGGACGCGCGCGCACACCGGCGAGCTCCAATCTTAACGATTACGACGCGGTGCGCTGATAGGCCGCCTCCTGGGCGCGCATTAGGAAGATTTCATAAAGCCCGACCGCGCTCCCCCGCGCGACCACTCGGTATGCAGGTGCGCGGTTCCACGGTCGTTGAGGAAGCTCGAGCGTGACCAAGGACGTGCATAAATATTTCCCGCGAGCAAAGCAACCGCGTGTATGAAAATTCATGAGCGTATGAGAGTGTTACATCGCCGGGCCATTCAGAGATTAGCAGCGGCGATCTTCTCTCTCGTCGAGATTTCGATTTTTCCTCGAGTTTGACGGGGACACTCGCGCTTGTTCGCGTCCACTCGTGGTCGGAACGCTTGGTCAGTTGGGGCTGAAGGGAGAGCTGCAGCCGGGGGTACTCATGTCGATTAATCAGCCGGACGCGCGCGCTCGCCGCGTTTTCTCCTCCCGCGACCCGCGACCTCCTCAACCGCCGTGCCGTGCCGGCCGCGACGAAGAAAATCGGCGCCGCTGAAAACGCCGATTCAGCCGCGTCGCGCGCGACGCTCCTTGATGTTTCTTGTGCCCCGTGTCTACGTGCCACGTAGCAACGGGCTTATTTTGTCGATTCCTCCCGCGGCGCCGGTGCTTCCGTTCTTTCGTTATCCGGTAGCCGGCCGGTAGTGAAATTATCTTATCGATTGCGCGACAGAGACTCGTTTTTCGACCGCGGAGGCACGAGAAACAAGAGATAGGACGAAAATAGCAATGGCGAAAAAAAGAAAAAAAGATGAAGCAGAGAATGAGAGACGAAGGGAGGGAGGGAGGGAGGGAGAGAGAGAGAGAGAGAGAGAGAGAGAGAGAGAGAGAGAGAGAGAGAGAGAGAGAGAGAAGTAGAGAAAGCCGCGTGGTCGCACACCACCCCTTGCAGCGTCAGCCCTGGCTCCCCAACAGCCCCTGAGGACTTTCCAGCGAAAGTGATGGCCGTGGCTGCGTAGGAAAGGCGGCGGGGGCGGTGGTGGTTTTCCGTGTCGACTCCCGCGGGTGGGGGTGAGCGTCGTCGTTGACGGAGGGGTTGGCCGCGAGGGAGGTCGGCTACGGAGGACGCTAGGAAGGACGATGATAGCGCTAGCGAACGTACGTGCAGGACGAGCGGGGTGTTTCGCCGGTAACCTTGCAACCCTCTTGCGTACGCGTCGAGGAAGGGGAAGAGAGAGACTGGAATCCCGCGAGAGGGGTGGCGGCCGGTCGCGGGCTACGAAGGCAGTCGGGGGTGCAGCCGCACCGGGACGGCAGTGACGGGCGTGACGTAGTCGGAGGAGGATGTACGCCCCTGTTGGCGAGGGCCCCAGCAACCATCGACCATCCCTGGTCAGTCCATGGTGGCTTCACCCGCCAGGTACGACCGAGTTGTCGTTGTTGTCGATGTTGTCGTCCTCGTTGTCGTCATCGTCGTTTTTTTCATCACCACCACCACTATCGTCATCATCATCATGATTATCATCATAATCTTCATCATCATCATCATCATCATCATCATCATCATCATCATCATTACCGTCATCATCATCGTTATCGTCATCGTCGTCGTCGTCGTCATCGTCGTCGTCGTTGTCATCGT